AAAAGCTTCTTCATGGTAAGGGTGGCCAAAATTTGGAATGGGCTTCCAAGGGAGGTGGTGCTCTCCCCTACCTTGGGGGGTCTTTAAGAGAAGGCTGGATAGGCATCTGGCTGGGTCATCTGACCCCAGCACTCTTTCCTTCCTAGGCAGGGGGTCAGACTCAATGATCTGTTGAGGTCCCTTCCAACCCTAGAATCTATGAATCTATTAATCTATTTTTCCACTTCTGGGCCTTAGTTTTAACAACTGGTTCCATTGCATAATTCAAGGCTTTTGTTTTCCCTCATGTTTGTGATCATTATGAAGGGAGTCAATAGCACAAATTTCTGACATTCTATAAAACTCCCCCAAGAACTTCTGTCATCCATTTGGCAAGACTCTTTTAAACTTCCTAAAATATTTCTTTGGTTTCAAAATTACCGTCTTTAAGGAGAAAGTAGGTTGCCAGGAAGGTCTCTTTCAATTTCCATGAAGTGTCAGTTGTTGCAATTTCAACAATTATAGAAGTGACTTTTTCCACAGTGTCTGGGATCATTGAGCAACTGCTAGTAGGGACAACCTGCCTGGTGTTAGCCCCAATAACCCCAATATGCTTGGCTGGGAAGGAAACATTCTTTCCTCTCTGCTAAAACATTCTGTCTTCCTCCTGGAGTTCTCTATTCAGTGCCCCATGAGACAAACAATTCTGTGTGTCCACTCATGCTCTAATCCAAAAGACTTTGGTTCCTGGACTGCTGCAGCCAGCAAATTTTGCAGTGGAGAGGAAGAAGTACAGATATCGCAGTGCTTTCCCTTCCTGCTTGGAGACAATAGTGAAAGTTGGAGAAACACAGCACAGGGTGAAAAAATATAAAAGGGCAGAGGGGTTGGCTATAAAGCTCTGTAGGAAGTAACAAAAATAATCTAGATTTCTTTTTTTTTAACTAATGTCAGATTATTAACATTTAATTTAAATTGATTTTATTTTTTAGTGAAATCTGAAATGTTCACCTGAGCCCATAAATTCTCAACCCGAGTACCATCCCACCCAGGGATCCCACCAGATGGAATCATAGAATCAATGAGTGAGAAGGGACCTAGACAGATCATC